GAGTCAGGGGTATTTGAAAAACCCCAAACTACACATCGAAAAGGCATTTTTTTGCTAAAAAGATTGTAAACAGTAGCTTCCACACTCACTTTGCTTCTTTGATAAACTTGGTGTTACAACCGTTATGTCACGGGTTCCAGTTACTGTGCTCTTAAATGCAGCCAAAGAGATACGGGGAGCCTAAGTTCGATACAATTTTGGACTTTTATCGCCTCGTAAAATAACAAAGACGCATCAGAATCACCCACAAATCTTACCAGACACCCTCTACAATCTATTTTTATAATTTAATGCTAAAAAAATTGGTGTCATAAGGACTTTAATTTTTGATGAGTTGTTCTGGAACTTTACTATAGTTAACCCTAACCATGGTCACTGTGAGTTATTATTGAAAAGGAAAGTCACAACACCATTTTTGAAGCTGAAGCAAACAGTGCTGCTTAAATGGAGGTTTCCTCAGAACTCGTGATCAGTCCTTGTTTCTTGATTCTCAATCGTCAATCCATCATTCTCAAAAAACTTAGAGATCAAGGCTTGCATCATGTTTTCAAAGGGCATTTGTTGATATGCCTCAAACTGATCCAACTGATAAACAAGGGCATTGTTTTCAGGGCATTTCAAAAATTTTCAAGATGAAAAATAAAATGTCTTTTCATATGATTAGTTGTTCACACAGGTGAAGCATCTTCCCCTTTGTCTGTTTCCTTGGGTAGAAAGTGTTGCAGCATGCATTGTGAGGTTGTTCAAACCATTTTTTGACGCAAGTTGATCCCAGGTTTCTGATAGAATCTTTTCAGGTTTGCCTTACAGAAGTGGTCAGTTTTACAGGTTGTTATGAAATTACTAAAGATCTTAAGACTTTGGGTTTCAACGCTTTCTACTAACCTGAGTCTGGAGAAACTCTTGACCTAGAATGGAAAAGGAAAATTCACATTTATCAGATTCTCGCTTCCAAATGATAATTTTGGAGGTAAAGCAGCTTTAAATATGACTATGAAGAAGAGATATGAAAAAGAAATATACATATATAATTAAATAGATATGCTCACCTTCTGTAATATGCTTTTTAAGGTGGTGTTCATTGAAACGTATTCCCTAAGAGTGTTTACAATTGTTTCACTCGATCCATCAGTTTGTTTTAAAGCTTCTTCTAATCCTTGGCGTCTGCAAATGAGAAGAAGGAGAAGGAATTAGTGGAAAACACCTACAAAATTTCTTACGGCTCGACTAGACAACACTGAAATTATTGGCGTCCTTACTTTCTTGTGGAGTCATGAACGAAAGGTGCCAAATTATCCGGTACTCCTTCAAGTGCCATTCCAAAATTAATGCGATCCGTAAGCTTTGTTCCACACGCAGGATGTGCCATACTCTTGACAGAGACACATCCAAATAAAACAGATTTAAAAACCGTAAATAATCATGTGTTTGACTTGAATTACAGGAAAGAACATTGTTATTGTGATATTTGAAGTATGTGATACGAATTGCACCGAACGCTGTTCAAGACGACTGTAGTGTCAGGTGTAGCGTCACGCTCGAGTTTTGGATCAGTTTGAGGCACACAAACACTGGCTGGGTTTATATTTACCCAGTAAGTTCGGGTTCTACCCAAAAAGCATATGGCGTGGAGTCAATGGAGTTACATGCATGTCTAACCTGGAACCATGAAGCCCATAGATTGTGTGACTCTTAGTAGATAGCGTGATGGTCATTGTAACTGTTTACTTTTCATCACGCAATATTTGGAAGCATGTTGATTTGTCTCGCTTTCAGACGAGTCTCATTTTCTTCTTTGAAACACCTAAGGAAAACTCACTTGTCCGCGGTGGCTAATATGTCGACGTCGATGAAGGCAGTTGTGATACATGACTACGGTAATTCTAGTAAACTTAGCTACGAAGATGTGCCAATTCCTGAACCAGGACCTGACGAGGTACGTAGTTTGATTCCATTGTTTACTTAAGTAAAAATATAATATTTTTACTTAAGTAAACAATGGAATCAAATTTATGGTTGGCAGATGCACTCGTTCAAACCACTTAACTTGACTGTACGGTGTTTAGTGTCATTGCACCACAAATGAGCCTATCTTTACGACAAGTTTTTAAAGTAGCCTTGACCAACATTAAACACTTGTGAATAATATTCTGTTAATAATAATAATGGTAAAGATGCACTCGTACTCAAACCACTTAATGCTCCTCCTCTTTCTTAGAAGGTTTTTTAGAAGTACTTTTTTCTTCTGTTTGAGCAGACAGCGACTTCAAAGGACCTAAGTAAATAGGTGGTGTCTGTTAGAGCTGAATCAAAATAGTTTTACTGATGTAGGTTTGTAGATATTCTAGTCTTCTCGGATAGGGACGAATAAATGGAGGTCCCGTCTCCTACAGGGTTGGGGTAGGACTGC